ACGCTCTTCAAGTGCTCTAAGCTCTCCCACGACCTCGCCCCAAACCCTAACCCCTGCGCTCATTCTTCTTCAGCCGATCAACCACAAGAACTTGTTTCGCGTAACAATCCGATTCGCCACGCCAATTTGCCCGAGAAGTTCCGAGTCAGGCTCGAAATCTGCTCTCCCGACTCCTTCTCCGCCGCTCCGGTCGCTCTACGGGGTTTCGCCTATCCCGGCGCCGAGGAATGCTTAAGGAGATTGACTGATTGCTTGTCCAATGTGAGTGGATTGTTAGGGTTTCTGTTTGTTGGAGAGATTCGAAGAGAAAGAAAATCAAAGAAAATGGAATTCTAGTTTTTTTTCTTCTTTTTGAATTTTGAATTTTGGGGTTTTTTTAACTCAAAAGTCGTAAATTATAGACTTTGAAATGAAAAAAAGGAGAATTTCTTACTGTTTGGTAGAGAGTCTCAAAGGAAAGAAAAGTGAAAATTAGATCTTTTTTAATTTCTATTATTATTATTATTATTTTCAGATTATGCCGTTGCATTACACGCAAAATCACAGCGGCGGAAAGGCCTGTGTGTACTATGTGAGGGATTACAGTACAGTATTGAAGTGTTTGAAGGGTAACAAGAACTTTGATGTTGAGGAGATACCTTGGGGAACACTCAATGTTGTTGAGAGGCTTTCGCATTCGTTTGTCTCCGACAGGTGGATGCCTTGCCGGCCGGAACACTTGTCTGACGACGAGGTCGACAAGTTGATTGGGAAGCTGCCGAAGTCGCTGTTGGAAGTGCTCTTGCCTTTCCAATTTGACGGCATCAAATTTGGGTTGCGGAGGGGGGGCCGGTGTCTCATTGCGGATGAAATGGGGCTTGGAAAAACACTGCAGGTAGTTCTGTTGTGTAGTTTGTTCAACAATAATGTTTACCGAGCCAAATTTATGTTTCAATGTTTTTTTTGTTATGATATAGTTATAGACTTGTAGTGACATGGTAATGTTTTTTCATCTCAGGCTATTGCAATTGCATGTTGTTTCATGAATGAAGGATCTGTACTTGTCGTTTGCCCTGCGATTTTGCGCTTTTCATGGGCAGAAGAATTGGAGCGCTGGGTTCCATTTCTTTTGCCTTCTGATATCCATCTAGGTAATGCTTTCTGTTTCTCACTATATATTTAATTTGTTTTGCTTCTTTTACTTGTATCTCTTCTATTTTCCGTAAATGTAGTGCTCAATTAACGTGTAGACCAATTTTCTTTATTTGGTGGATGTAATTTTTTTTTTATTCTTAAAAAATAAACCCTCTTTTTCAGTATCTTTATGCGGATGATATTTTTGTGATGTCAAAAGAAATTATAGTGTTCTCTTTATTTAAGAATTGTCCACTTTGGCTCCAGTCTTTGGTCATCAAAATAATCCTGCCCATTTGAAAAGATGTCCAAAAGTTGTGGTTATTTCTTTTACAATGCTTCACCGTTTGAGGAAGAGCATGCTTGATCGAGATTGGGCTCTTTTAATAGTTGACGAGTCTCACCATGTACGATGTACCAAGAAACAAGAGCCAGGAGAGGTACATTATGTTTCTTATTTCTTAGTGAATAAATAGCTTATAGTCCATGCCATGGTATTTCATTTCTTCCTCGTGTTTAGGATGGATTGGTGATGATCTTTTTGTAATTTGGAATTTCAGATAAGATTTTGATTCCATCAATAGTAAACTTTGGCATCTCATTTTCTGTTTCCTTGCCGACTATATTTTGACCATGTTTATCCATATTGTTGTTGCAATGGGAAATAATTTCTCATATACCCAAATCCATACATTTCTTGCAAGTGTTCTTCATTTTTGCACCAATGCATAATACTATCTCGAATGCCATATCTAGTTTTTGTCAATAATCATTAAGCTTTGGCTCAGTGGCAAATCTCTTGGACTTAGTGCATGAGGAAGCATTAGGCCTAAGGTTCGATTTCCATTGGGTGCTATCAGTTCCTTGGGGCCATGCTCATGGACAAAAGACCTGAGATTTACCTGATCCATGTGGAGGGAGGTCTTTGCATGGATCCCATGGATTAGTTGGGCAAAGTCTTGGACATCACGGTCATAAAAAGAAAATAGCAATTTAAAAATGCCAACATTATAGTGATTAAATGAAAAGATAAATACTAGAATTTTTTTGAAAAAAGTTCTCGACGTTAATGATTTGTTTGAGGAAGCAATCTTGTCTGCTTCACTGTGGGCTTTAACTCACAAAGAATTTAAGAGCCATCCTTTTTCTTTGATTGTTTCCAAAATTCCAATTGGTTGGATTTGGTGGGGTCTTAGTCTAGTTTGTTGTAATCCTGATTAGGAGTCTCCTCTTTTTTGTTGGTTATTTGTTTGCTCTCTTTTTCTTTCACTTGCAGTGGACCTCTTGTCCACCTTTTTCCTCCTTTTTGTACTTCTTATTGTTATTTTTAATAAAGTTCGTTTCTTATAAAAAAAAAAGATAAATACATCTATAAATAGCATTCAAATGCTAAAATTTAGCATCTTGGTGCCAGATGTGCCACTAAATTAGCTTATGCCAAATTTTGCATCAAGAATAGCACTACATTTGAGAGTGTTTTTCCTCTCAAATGTTAAAATTTGGTATTGGCACACCAATTTAGCACTGCATTAGAGATGCTCTAATGTTGGGAAATGTATTTATTCAGGATTGTATCTCTTTGGTTTATTTTATTTGCTATATTTCAAGTATTATGATTTGTTTATCCTTGTAAGGTGTTGTAACTTTAACTTTATCATGTGTATTATCAGACGAAAACAGTTCTTGACATGGCAACAAAGGTCAAGCACGTAGTTCTACTATCAGGGACACCTTCTTTGTCAAGGTTGTAGTATGGACTCTTTTTTTTTTTTTTTTTTTTTTTTAAGAAAT